TGTATGTATGTATGTATGTATGTATGTATGTGTGGATTGGATTAGATTAGATTAAGTTAGATTAGATGGATAGATATGATATAGAACGCACCTCATCAAGGAAAATACAATATCTCAATTGAGCTCAACTGTCTATCTTCTCGATAGTGGCTCGTGACCCATCCTATGTATGAAATCACCCAGGAAGTCGATAGTTTCTACGAACTGTTTCGCGGATACAGTACAGTTTGCACTGTGGATTTCACCCTTGGAGCTCGTATCAAAAATGGAGCCACTGCTGATGATGAGGTAGTCAGAGAGACTGCAGGCCTACACTCTGACTTGCTAATCTGGAACTGCAGAACCCACTGTTTGTAAGCACCAACAGGCTTCCCGCAAGCCATTATTGAGTTTCTCATTATATAGCAAGTCGGATTGTATAGACTCACTGAAGCGATTTGAAAGGATTCCATTAAGAGAGTTAGAGACAAGTCAATAACCGGAAAAGAAGCGCGTTATCTCAGTGAACCATGAAAAAACATATGTTCCGTAGGCATGACAAGCTTGGCGAAGTCGACTCCGCAGTGACTTCACGGTTGTCCATCATCTATGTAGGATCTTTGAGCTGGCCAGTAGACTGTGACTTTGTCAATAGCTATATACACTGTAGCTACAGAGTGGAGATGGAAAAGTCCCAGAGTGGCCATGGAGATGTACACTCCCCGAAATCATGGGCCAACGTGTATGGCATGACCCCGAGTTTGGATGAGCATGAAATCTGATCACGAAACAGGTGAGTATTCCTCGGAGATGTAGCGGATTGTAGCAGTCTCACCTGGAAGCTAGCTTGTTGGCCCAAACAGCTGGTGGGCCAAAACAGATGCCTCACAATGTTTCTTTCTTCGGCACGGGTCGGGTGCAGGTGGAAACCACTCCTCTTTGACGAGTGTCGTGTCGTGTGTTTCAATGGTCCTCTTAGGTGTGTATTCAGTGTATTCTTTTTCGGTGACGCTCCGATGACATCACATGGGTGGATGGTTCACCCGGCTTGGAGAATTGTCATCCAAAGGTCCATGCCATTCACTTAACCATGATCATTTCAGGGGGAGTGTACGCTCCCTGAAACAATCATGGAAGTGGAACGTAGGCTCCTGGAAGATCATTTTCCTCCAGAAGGGGTCCGGGTCAGCTTCCATGATCGTTGGAGGAAGTGTAGATCGAGTCGTGGTGCATTGTGCCACTCCCAAAATCCCCTACGTGGCAGGTGCACAGACCGGGCTCCGAGTGTGGTGGCTCAGCGGACGCCGGATCCTTTGGTGACCACGGAATGGGGGTGACTACCACGTACAAGGACCCATCATGAGGAAACCCAACTACAAGAAACCATGGCAATTGCCTGACAAAAGTTTGCGATGATTAGGATTGCATTTGGCGAGCGTTGCAATCTTTTTGTGCTGGCATGCTCTAATCATTGGCAAACGATAGGGGGCTCAAAAAAGGTGATACCCTCTAACAAGGTTCCAAAGCATTGGAAAACGATAGGGGGCTCGTAAATGTGAGGATGCAATAGCCGCACATACTTGTCGACCATACCTAAAATTGGGTGGAAATCCAGTGCCGGTGTACGAAGACAAGGAGCACACGATCCAGACACCAAGAATGGAGGGGGTCATTATGACCAACAAGAAGGTATATATGCCCCAAAAACGGCCAAACATGTGTCGTGGACTAGTCCGCCCAGGTTTGGCCTCATGAGGCTTGAGTTCCTTTTCCAGCACATCAACTTCATGGTGCGAACCTTATGGTTTACGAAGTGCATGCATTGGGGGTTCCTCAAGCGGAAGTCATGCATACTACGAGGACAACTCCATATCACGTCAAGACTTCAAATCTGGGTGCATACCTTTTTGCTGGGCAATCAATAGGGTCTTTATGTGCGTGCCATGTCTTTTGGTTCCAAGGTGCTCGTTTTCCAGACAGCTATCATGGGCTATTTATTCACTCATTTGGAAGACTTGGAGGCTTGGAGCAGTTGTAGCAGTTGTTGAGTGTGGAAAAATCCTCGGATCATGATCAGGGGCATGTTTTTCAACATCTTGGTTCGTTCTTTGCTTCCAAGGAGCGCACGTACGTGTTCATTTGCTTGAACAACATAGGACGAATTGAAACAACACAGGGGGCCTTTTTGCTTGAACAGACCGATGCAGACCATCTCAGGTGGCGCTATCCGATGCAGACTGCTCCTGCAGACCGAGGACTGCGCTCAAAATGCGCCCTCCTAGCGCCCAATATCCTTTCGAAAGGCAACAGCGAACGGCGGAACATGAGCCGATTTCCGGAAGGAACGCAGGAAGGATCCAGTGCATGATGGTGCATGAAATTTCATTCCACTCACGAAAGTAGCTTCCTGTTCTCACGTTAACATGGATGCGAACCACTCTGGACTCTGAACGTAGATAGATGCACTATGACTATGATGCACTCATGTTTAGACGGACAGTTTTGGCACGTTCCGTCGCTGATTTGCTCAAGTGGTCCGGAGAAGTTTATGGACTTTTGCATCTACGGAAGGAGGTGAGTTGAACAGACATGGGGGACCCGTATTTGTGGGAGCATTGCGTGCTTGGCATCACAATACTTGGCTATGTGGTTCTTGCCGTCAATGCCTACCTCAATCGCCGCAAGCGGATGCGACTGTCAGAGGAGTCGAAAACCATGTCAGAGTGTGAAAGGTGCTCAGTGGAAGTCGCCAAAAGCCTAGTTCCCGCCTCTAGCGTGCCAGAACACCGCTTCAGGGGCATGCACTTGAAAATGTCATCCATGCGCATCGAGTTTGAGAACTTGAGCGTGAAGCTCAAGTCCAACAAGAAGTGCATTCTGGAGGGTGTGACTGGAGAGTTTCGCCCCAAGAGGGTGGCAGCTATCATGGGGCCGTCTGGGGCAGGGAAGACGACCTTCATGAATGCCTTGTGTGGTCGGGCCTACTATGGGACGACAACCGGTATGATCCGCATCAATGGTCAGACCAGTAGCATTGCTGCGATCAAGCCACTTCGGGGTTTCGTTCCACAGGACCAGATGGGGTTTCGAGCGCAACGTCCGGGCAGAGGAGGGAGATGTAGACTCTTGATTAAAACCCCCCCATTTGGATGCACGGACTTGCGAGTCTGAGCGTGCCCATGCCAACCCTTACTGGTATTCAGTGGGTTGGGTGGTGAAACTCTCGGATGAAAAGGTGAGAAAAAAAACAATTGCAGCACGAATGAAAAGACTGGATGACTATGGATGACTTAGTATTTGACCTTGCGAGAGTAATTTAATGTGAATTATCCGAGCAAGGGCTCAATGATGGTCAGGATGTAGAAATGTGTCCAACTCTTTTTGGTCCGAATAGCATAGCGAACGCGGCTCTGAAATTTGTTTTGTTTTTCATACCTAGCTTTTTGCCACTGTGGGCCATTTGCTTTCCTGTGCAAAAGTATCAAGTGGCAAAATCGGAACATTTGTGTGAAACGGTTGGTTATTACGAGATCCTGCACATATTTATAGATGTTATAGGTGGCTGGTCCATTAGGCAGTTGCGGCCGACATGCCACCCCTCCTTCATGGTCACTGGAAAAACTTAATGAAATAAGGCTCTTTGAACTCTGCTTGCGGTAGGACGGAACCAATTTGGAGACCGAGAAAGTTTGGATATGCTTGACTATCCACCGAAAACTCTCAGCCAAAGCACACAGAGAGCTATGATGTGGTGGCAACAGCTTTACTTTGGAATCATGGATAGGAAGGGCTCTCCACCCATGTTCGGTTCGAACTTTGACTGGTAGAGTGACGCCAGACCACAACATGAAAGAACTCTAATTCAACCCATGAAATACCACCATCCCCACGGCCAGGTTGTGCAGTACACGGAGGCCACACTAGTGTAGTGAGGAATTGCCACACTAAGCGTGCCATGTTAACTCCCCAGGTACATGACCAAAAAACAACGTTATGTGGTTCCGGCGGCAAAGGAAATGCAACACCAGGTACTGTCCACATCTTGTATGTCAGCAAACGCTTTTGAAGGGAAGAGTTCCGGGCGTATCATTTGACGTCCTGGCTGCTCCAATTGGGGTATCTTTATGCAGTTGCCGGTCCTCGTGATCCTCTGTCAAGCGTTCATATGCCACATCTAACATATACGGCCACAGCTTAGGAATGATATCCTTTTGCTGTGTCAAATGCTTTCTGACTATTGCGCAGAGGTGATTAAACTTGTTTCTTGCTGTTCTTTTTTTTTTTATGGACAGTATTTTCATATGGGAGTTTACTAAATAATCAAGAGTCTACATTAACTGAGGTTTGTCCTGTCCGGCCTTTGCAAGGTACGGGTCGTATTTGCAGAGCACGAACTTGGGATCGTGAAGGGGCAAACGGACAGACCACATCAGGTTATCACCAGACAGACCACTACGTCGGTACGTCCCTGACTCCCCAATGATCCCTTAGATAGTTACATAAGCAACATGCATTCATACACGCAAACATGTTTGTTCTCTACATACCCGGAGCTTCCTTCAATCTATGTATTGTTAAGGCTCGCCTTAATAAGAAAAAGAACGGACTGCGTTGTGTATGCCTTGACAATTACAAAAAAAAATAGAACATGCACCAAGCGCGACCTTCGGTTGGGGTGACGTGGCTTGGAATGTTGGACAAGCTTGGGATGAGGAAGGCACATATGCCTGTCACCAGAAGCTCAAACACAAAACACCGTTATAGCCATAGCTCCCAATAAAAAGCAGATGCCGATTCACAAAGCATCTAGTATGAAAAGCCGAGGTGGCAGTGGGAGAGAAAATAAACAAATAGAAATTGTTAAATAGTTCTTCAGCAGCATGGGCTTTTCACTGGAGGCTTTCATTGAAGCTTGAAAGTGTCTCTCCTTTGTCACATGTTGAGCAGCAGCTTTATATAGTTCCAAGCCGGAAGAGCAACACAACACAAAAACCTAAGAGAACCCACACAACACAATGCAGACACCTGAGAAATGCAACGTGGGAACCGGCGCAATGTGACGCAAAAGAGGTGTTTTCTGAGACGAGTTCAGATTTGTTCACATTGTCGACATGGCCCCATCTCAGTTTGTTGGATGATTTGACATGAGTTCATAGGTTTGGATCCTAGGTCCTAGGTTTACTGATCTCTGCTTCTTTCTGATTCTTGATGATTCTTGAGTAACTTAAAAGTAGACTATGGAGCGTTAGGTGAGTCACTCAGGGCCCTGAGTGACTCACTACTCTCCAAGACTTTAGAAGGGCTTCAGTTTTCGGAGGAACCGACACCGAAACAATTTCCTAGTATATAACTTCTGTTGGTACCTTTGTTCAAGCTATCCCAGACCATCCATGGGACTGGCAGACCATCTACATTGACCCCGGGTATCAACCGCCTCAATGCAGGCCAATATGCCATAGATGGTCTGGGTATACCTGTTTTAAATGGCTCTTGGACTCTCTGACTCGGACGAGGTGTTTTCAGGCTCGGGGTTCACTGGACTCGGACGTGTGTTCACAGGACGGACGACTCTGGAATCAACTGAATCAACCCTTTGGCTTCAAAGACATTTGTGTTACCGCAGGTCTGCGTATTGAATTTACTCCTCCACTATCAACAGCATAACTTGAAATGAACTGGTACTTCAGCGAGCTCTTGTTTGAGGCATAACTTGACAATCCAAGTAGCTACGGGCTTCAGGTACAGTCAAGGAACTGTAACAACCTGGTCGAACCGTGCACAGGATGACATCGTCCATGAGCACTTGACCGTGCGTGAGCAGCTCTACTATTCTGCGCGTCTGCGCAATGAAGAGGACACCCCACCAGCAATGATCAACAACATCGTAGAAGACGTGTTGAATGTCATGCAGCTGCTGGATGTGCAACACAGCCTGGTTGGAGATGTGGAGAAGCGTGGCATCAGCAGCCTGGCTTAGTTTAGCTTGAGGTATATACGTGTTTCTTGCGTTGGTTCAGCTTTTCTCTTGGTGAAAAATGTTCAGGAATTGTACGGAGTCGGTCCCGGATACATTCATTTGGATGGTATTTTTGTGTTGCCACGTTGATCAGAGCCTAGGTGGAGGACAACGAAAGCGAGTGAACATCGGTTTGGAGCTTGCAGCACGTCCCACCGTTTTGATGCTGGATGAGCCGACCAGTGGCTTAGACGCCAGCACCGCTTTGGAGATCATTCGCTCGGTGAAGCGGCTCACCGCCATAGGCGCGGCGCGGCGCGCGCGAAACGGATGGGAATCGGAACGGGCTCGGCCAGTGGATAACCACCCCACCGGTTTTGTATAGAACCATGTCATCCTTGCCTTAACGGGGCCATGCCATCCAAGTAATTAACCATGATAATTCCAGGAGGCTGCTGAGAAAACAATTTCAGAATGTTGTTTGCGTTGTCATGTGGCTTCTTCCGAACAGAATATGAATTTCGGCCGCCCATTGATGCATTATATTACATAAGCAATTATATATGTTCCTCTGTTTCTTCGCTTTATTTTCAATCGGTCCATGGAAATCTGTGCGGGACATTCTGAATAGTAGGTCTCTCATCGTCAATCCTGCTAAGAGCACCTAGCAGCCCTAGCACCATTTGCTGCGAGCTCGCAGGCATGACTGTGGTGATGGTGGTGCACCAGCCTCGTTACTCGCTTTTCACTCTCTTTGATGACTTGCTTCTTCTTGGTTTGGGTGGCCGAACGGTCTACTTGGGCAAAAGCGAGGGCGCGCTTCCCTACTTCCGCCGCTGGGACCGAAGGATCCGGCGCGGTTTCCCGGCCGGAACGGCGCCTCAGTACTCCTGGTTCCACCCCCACCTGGCCCTATCAATATGTATATATATATATTAACACTTGGTGCACCTCACATGCGTGCCATGCTCTCAAATGAGGCTTGTGTTCAAGGTGCCATGCTCCGAGGTGCCCTCATTGATTCTTAATTATAGGGTGTGTCCCAGTAGACTTGTGTGTATATATAATATCACTATTTGTTAGGAAGGCCTGCAACCTAACCATCATCATCATCATCATCATCCACGGTTACTGGGAATGTGTTGTACCCAGCTTGTAACTTGTTTTATAGCTTAATGATGTTATATGATGTTACTATAGAGCTTTTATATGTGCGCCATCAATTCTGTTGTTGTGCGGAGCCGTTTTCGTGGGTCGAACACAAAACCCCCGAGACTGTTTGACCCCGTCACTCCTCAGTTGAAGAACTTTGTTCATGTGTATGTATATGAATATATACATAGCGAGCCTGTCGCACTCATGCCCATGCTGCCTGCCACGCTTCAGGAAATCTAGGGTTTCAGATGCCCTTGCACGAGAATCCAGCAGACTGGTTCATGGATGTGATCTCCGGAAAGGTGAAGAATGACCAGGATCCCGCGCTAATGTCAAGAAGGTTGGCAGATGCATGGGTTGGGTTCATGAGAAACAACATACCTCCTGATGATTTAGAGTTGGGCCAGGAGGCAGAAGGGCAGATGGACAGGCTCGCATTTACTAAGGCTTTGGATGCCAAGCTCTTCAGTGCAGGATTTGGGGAGATGGATGAGTTAAGCCAAGAACAGTTTGCAGACTTCCTGGACATTTTGAAGGTACAGAAGCCTGCTGATGCTGCATGGGAACAGCTGATGGATCGTATGGGATTCCAGGATGGATTCATCAGCCGACAGAGGTTGACCTCTTTCCTTCATGGTTTGACCTTTTCCTTCTCCCAGGATGCAGGCAAATATGTGGAGGATTTCACATCCTCCGAAGCGTCAGGCACTTCCAAGGAGACCTCCATCAGCGAGATTCCGGGCAAGAAGCTTGGACGCCGTGGACGGTTTTGCATTCAATATCCTATTTTGCTTCACCAAAACAGTATCCGGTGGGCAAGGGACTGGAAGCACAAGCTCATCAGCACAGGAATTATCGTCTTCGCAGGAGCCGTGTTTGGGGGACAATGTCGCGAGATGCTGATCCCTGAAAACATTTTATGCCCTCTCAAGATCAACGTCTCTCATTTGCCCATTGGAACCTTGAGCGGAATAGCATGTCTCCACATTTTCGGTTCAGATCGGCCTTTGTTTTGGCGTGAGAGCGCCAGTGGAGTGGGAGTCACTGCCTTCTATCTTGCCAGAGTGACTGTGTCCCTCTTCGACGTGCCTCACCGGCACTTGTTTCAGAATGTTTCACTTTCTTTTATCATAACATTTGGGAACAAATCTCCGCATAGAGTTCCCACATGTCAGCGGATCAAACCAAAACAAGAGATGATGGACACTGCCAATTACTGGTGTAGGCTTACTCTCCCAAGACACCCCCGCGGCAACTTATGGTAGGGTCCCCCCTGCTTTGCCTCCTGTCGAACAGCACCAAATAATACATGTTGCTCACATAAATCTTAAGCTAAGCCTCAACAAAACACTGTTTGCCTTTGTTTCATGCTTAAACTTATGCTGTTTGCATGCACCTCGTTTGCACCTCTGGCCGCACAGGTGCTCGTTTGGTGCTACTTGTACACCGTCGCGTGGATGATCTTTGCTGAAGCACCTTGCAGCTACTGGATGTGGTTAATCGCATTTCGGATGACTGCAGTCAGTGCCAGTGGCGTGGGTGTTTTCATTTCGACACTGGTGCCAAAGCAGAATCCTGGCTCACGGGTAGACATATGTGTCGGGGAAATACAAGTTATAAGTAGTCCCCTCTCAAGAAGCAAGGAACATGAGCCCAATCTAGCACCAATGAACAAGAACTAATACGCATATAAACATAATTAATACATCTATATAGTCGATATCACATGATATCACATTCAAGTCACGAAAGAGTACAGCGGACACAAGCAAGAAATGATCAAACAAGCAGGCGAGGTGCTCAGCTGATGTTGGTATGTAGCTGGTGCAGATGTTGATCTGAAGGCCATGGAGAGAGAGACAGAGACAGATGTTAGACTCGTTTTGCGACGGTGCGACGAATGTGGCCAGCTGCATTGAACAAGGTATCAACATTGTAGGGGGATGAGGCGGAACCGCCTCATTCCTGAGCGAAAAATACTTTAGCAACTCCACTAGACTCACTACACTTCAAGCTAGGTTTGTTTCTTGAAAACTCCTTTAGTTAGTGCATTGCTAGTCACAAGCGAGTCGCTTTTGGCGTAAGAGTAAGAGTTTGTTTCTTGAAACTCCTCTTGAGACTCCACCAAGTCAAGCTCAAGACTTTTCAAGAAACGGACTGGAGTCAAGGTTCCAGACTGGAAACAGAAGACTTTTTGGAGCTTCAAGACTTCAGGAATTCCACTCTTGCGACGGCGGTCGTTCTGCTGGTGATGGGAGGTGCCTTGAGTGAACCTCAAGTGATTGCAGATGCGCATGGTCTCAGCAGCGCATTGGCATTCATTTCTCCATTTACTTGGGCATCAGGAGAGAAGCCTGGGATTGTGCTTTATGCAATTTTTGTGGCCGAAGATGGTTTGAACCCACTAGCATCTACTCATTTACTATGGCAAGTGTCATTTTTCCTACAGATAAGTTTGGGGTGCTTCATTGTTGAACCAGGTGCTCCTTGCCTTGTTGAATGCCCAAGCGTAAGAATCTATGTAGAGCGGGAGATTGAAATATGTCACTCACCAAAATATTAAGATTCACATTGTGTCTCTCAATTGAGCCTCCTTCAAAGGCCCCGGAAGACGATTGGTGTCATCCCCAAAGAACCAGACAAGATTTGGGTTGTATGATGTTGTATGTCACTATGTAGGTACGTTGATGTTTGGGTTTGGGTGAATCCCGAGATCCCAAGGAACTACTTGGCACTTATTGCCACCAGCGGTGGAGAAGCAGCCGTGGACTTCTATGCAGTTCCCATCGTAGATGGCTACAAGAAGATCATCCTGTGCTTGGGAGGAAGCAATTTGAGCTACGTCACCATGGCCTACATCTTCTGCAGTGTTTTTGGATTTCTTGCACTCATGTTCGGATATCTTGGCCTTCGTTTTTCTCATCGTGGCAAACAGGCATGAGAGGAATGAGCAGCCAGACAAGCAAGAGGCTTGTCCAAGCTGCGGTACATCCTCAATAGGCCACATGTGCCAGCCGGCCACCAACAGCTGGCCATGGCTCAAGCACGCCCTGTCATCAACCAATGGTTGAAATTGCAAAAGAAAGTAGGTGTCAAGATGCGTTTTCGAGTGGTATCTAGAATGTTCTCAGAGTTTGAGCCAATGACCAAGAATTAGACAACATGTAAAGTACAGTCTACTCCAGGACCCTGTTTCTTGGAGTGATTTCTTGCACGGCTCCTGCAAAGGTACACGGATTTGAGAGCCGGAGTCAACAGGTAAAGAGCTAAACACAGTTGCACAAGCACCCATGAAGCCATGGGTCTAAGAGCAAGATCTTGAGAGGAACATCCAAACCTTTTTGTTGTTTAGTTTCAATTGACGATGCATTACGATTCACTCATTTGTGGTACCTTTTGAGGCCTGCCAGCTTGCGCTAAACAGTTGTTTGGAGGTGTGTTGCACTTTGCTCACTTTGCTCCACCATGCCATCAACCTGCATGTTTCAATGAGCTTGATATAGCTTGATGTTTATTTGGGGGGACGAGTTCCAGACATATGCCTCTTTGCCGACATATGGCTTAGGAGCACCAAGAGCTATTCTCGACTCTTTGGATGATTTGGGTTCAACGCCATGGCTGTTTCATACCTTTGGGAGCCTTGTATGCTGGGCATCACCTTGCTTGGCTATGCAGCACTGGCGACCGGCGCTTACCTCAATCGCCGCAAGCGGTTGCGGCTTTCTGAGGACTCCAAAGCCATGTCGGAATGTGAGAGGTGTTCCGTCGATTTCGCACACCGCCTGGTTCCTACAGTCACTGTGCCGGAATACCGCTTCAGGGGCATGCACTTGAAGATGTCATCCATGCGCATCGAGTTTGAGAACTTGAGCGTGAAGCTCAAGTCCAACAAGAAGTGCATTCTGGAGGGTGTGACTGGAGAGTTTCGCCCCAAGAGGGTGGCAGCTATCATGGGGCCGTCTGGGGCAGGGAAGACGACCTTCATGAATGCCTTGTGTGGTCGCGCCTACTACGGGACCACCACGGGTTCCATCCGCATCAATGGTCAGACCAGTAGCATTGCTGCGATCAAGCCGCTTCGGGGTTTCGTTCCACAGGACCAGATGGGGTTGTTTAATGGCTGCAATTCTGCATGTTCAAACCACTTTACTGCTATGTGTTGGTGAATGCTTTGGAGATGAGTTTGGTTCATCCATTTTTGTTTTTTCCTCTATGGGCACTTAATGAGATCACCTTTGAGCGCTTGAGAACCACTCCCACTGACTGAGAACAGATGTATTTGTCATGTGAGGTGGCTCTCAATAGTCACCTCCTCATGATCTGGTCGGATCCCAAGCAATCGTCACAGGACAAACCTCAAGTAGCACGGGGATTCTTGCCAGACCACATAACTTGCCGCGTCCCCAGTTGTCTCCGTTAGATAAGCACATAGACGATCATACGCGGACACATGTGTAGCTGTGTAAACATATGCTTTGCAAATTAACTACTGTATGACAACACCGTTCAACTAGCATAGCATAGTGACACCGTCAAGCATGCCGCCTTGTTGAGGATGTGCGGCTAATAGTGATGTTCCGCAAGGCAACCGCCACGGTCAGGGCTGCCCTGCAAAATCAGGGCTGCCCTGCAAATGGATAGGCATGGAGATCAATCAGGTATTACAGCGTTAATCGGAACGAACTGGTGGTTGGGGACAAGTAGCTACAGGCTGCAGGTACAGTCAACGAGCTGTAAAGCCTGGTCGCACCCTGCACAGGATGATATCGTGCATGAACACTTGACCGTGCGAGAGCAGCTCTACTATTCTGCGCGTTTGCGCAATGCGGAGGGCACTCCACCAGCAATGATCAACAACATCGTTGAAGATGTGTTGAACGTCATGCAGCTGCTGGATGTACAGCACAGCCTGGTTGGAGATGTGGAGAAGCGTGGCATCAGTCGCTTCGGTTTTTATGTTTCAGATGATGTTTCTCCTATGGGTACGCTCAGATTAAGACATGGATATGTTTGTGGGAATTTGCAGGGGCAAGGTGTTCACAGCAAGAACCTGCACCACTAAAGTAATGTGTGTGGTAACATCATGTAACATCAGGTGGAGGACAACGAAAGCGAGTGAACATCGGTTTGGAGCTTGCAGCACGTCCTACCATTTTGATGCTGGATGAGCCGACCAATGGCTTAGACGCCAGCACCGCTTTGGAGATCATTCGCTCGGTGAAGCGGCTCACCGCCATAGGCGCGCGGGCGACAACGGATGGGAAAAGGGAGGGTCTCGCTGAGAACATTAGGTTAAAGAACTGGCTATAGTACTGTAATTCGTTGCTAAGAATGTTAGCGGGCTTTGAACAGAACCCGTGGCCATACAAAATTTGTAGTCAATAACTGTCCCGTATTTAAGCCTCCGCCACGCAGGTGGTATATAAATGTGCTTGGTACAGTTCAGCGAATATACAAATGTTGGGCTAGCATCACACAAAAATCCGTGGAGTTGTGCAAGCCCTTCCCGCCCTGCGCGGGTCACGGCCATTCCGCAAAGTCGGGGTTCGAAGAATTGTGACCGAAAGCACTGACTCCTCCAAATCCGTGCCATGTGGAATTTAAGATGATGAAAAAAACTGGGTTTTGTCCAGCCAAATCCCGGATTGGAGTTTCTTGTGGTTGTTTTTCATTGATTGTTTTCTTGGTGGGCAGCTCTCCACAGTGGTGAAGCCGCGATTATGAAGGAATCTCTTTTGCTGCGAGCTTGCAGGCATGACTGTGGTGATGGTGGTGCACCAGCCTCGTTACTCGCTTTTCACTCTCTTCGATGATTTGCTTCTTCTTGGTTTGGGTGGCCAAACGGTCTACTTGGGCCAACGTGAGGGCGCTCTTCCTTACTTTAGACGCTTGGGCCCAAGAGAGAGAGATAGAGAGAGAGAGAGAAGTAAACTCTCAGGAGAACCTAGTAGAACTGGGCAGACAACTAAAACATACTAAAACAACCACGCCACTTGTGAATGAATTGCCCCCTCACAAAATGACTCGAGGATCTCAACATTCTTGGTGCCACTCCATGTTCGGAGTGTCAGCGTCTGAGTCCAAAGCCACTGCTAGACTTGGCCCCTTTGCTCCTCCAAGACTTGGAGTACCTACCCACTGTTCGGTGCACTCTCTTGGGTGCACACCCACGGTGCACACCCTCAAGATCCCTCAAGCTGCTTGATGCGACTGCGACACATTTCACCGAACCGTTTCTTGGGACATTGCCCCGTGACGAAGACTCGCGTTGTTGGCTTTTTAGCGACGAACACTGGGTTGGATTATTTACATATATGCATATGGCTGCATATGGGTTCATTCATGTGTATGAATCGATCAATGACTCGATGTTTCTTTTTGGGGGGTTGAATGGATCATCCACCTGCAAGCTGACTGTGTAGCAGCTGACGGATAGCAAGACGGATAGCCCGGGGGCCACTCCTGGAGACAGAACCACTCCTGGAGACCACGTTCGCTTCCAGGAAGCTTGGGCTTCCAAATGCCTCAGCACGAAAATCCAGCGGATTGGTTCATGGATGTGATCTCGGGCATTGTAAAGAACGAGAAGAATCCAACTTTGCAACCAAAAACGTTGGCGAATGCATGGGCTGAGTTTGTGACAAATGTCATGGCTGATGATGTGGAGTCGGCTCTGGGCGCAGAAGGGCCTGGCCTGGACGCGTTCGCATTCTCAAAGGCATTGGATGCCAAGCTCTGTAGTGCAGGATTCCGGGACAGGGACGTGTTGAGCCCGGAGCAGCTGGCAGACTTCTTGGAATTCTTACACGTCAAGAAGCCTGCTGATGCTGCATGGGAACAGCTGATGGATCGTATGGGATTCCAGGATGGATTCATCAGCCGACAGAGGTTGACCTCTTTCCTTCATGGTTTGACCTTTTCCTTCTCCCAGGATGCAGGCAAATATGTGGAGGATTTCACATCCTCCGAAGCGTCAGGCACTTCCAAGGAGACCTCCATCAGTGACTCCATCAGCGACATTCCGGGCAAGAAGCTTGGACGCCGTGGACGGTTTTGCATTCAATATCCTATTTTGCTTCACCAAAACAGTATCCGGTGGGCAAGGGACTGGAAGCACAAGCTCATCAGCACGGTCCTCACCATTTTTACGGCGGCCGTTTTTGGCCAGACTTGCATAGACAAGCTGATCCCCGAAAACATTTTGTGCCCGCTGAAGATCAACATCTCTCATCTTGCCATTGGCTTGGTGTGTGGGGTCGTTTCCTTGCACATTTTTGGTGCTGATCGGCCCCTTTTTTGGCGCGAGAGCGCCAGCGGAGTGGGAGTTCCTGCCTTCTATTTGGCCAGGGTGACGGTGTCCCTGTTCGATGCCTGGATGAAGAGGACATGTTTAACATGTCACATTTTCTTTGCAGGAAACCCATGGAAGCGTAAACGGACCCATGATATTAGTTCATCTCAGTTCTGTGGAGTTTGAGCCTGATCCATGGGGTCAGTCTGCCCACAAATCAAAGTTCAGGACTCGACATCTTTCTAACAAGAGCAAGTCAACCCTCAGGGAGGCCACGCATGGTAACATCGTGGAACCTGCACCCCGGTGTGTTTTCTTCCAAATGTTCTTGACCAAGTAGAGTTCTCAGTTTCTTCCACGAAGCCCCCAATAAAACCGTGGAAGAGTCAACAAATTAGAACTCCACGTCCAAGGATGTCTTTGCAGGGTGCTATTTGTACACTCTCGTGTGGATGTGCTCCTCAAAGGCTCCCTGCAGCTTTTGGTTGTGGCTCGTGTCCTTCCGCATGACGGCAGTGGTGGCCAGTGCAGTGGGCATCTTGATGTCTACGCTGGTGCCGAAACAGAATCTCACCTGAACGAGTTGAGTTGAGAGATGATCCCCTTTAAAACTTTGCGTGCTTCTTTCATGAGCACTTTTGTGTCATTTTGATAGTTTGTGTTTCAAGATCTTAAGAACATTTCAATTGATCATCACCTAATCTTCTTTCATTTTGGAACTCGATGTGCGGAAGTCGTCCTTGGTCCTGAACGCCCTACGTCGTCCTTGGTTCCCTGCTTCGGGTGGGCTGACACCCAAAGCAGCCCGGCGTTCTTTTAAAGAAAAAATCGACGAAATCTGAGGAGCTGGCCATGCACTAGCTCACTAGCTTGTGATTTTTGAGTTGGCCCGGGCCTGGGTTGGCCATTTTTTGTGGTATGTGTAAGGAACTCCACGCTTGCAACAGCTGTGCTCTTGCTGGTCATGGGTGGCGCTCTCAGTGAACCTCAGGTGATTGCAGAAGTTGAAGGCCTGAGCACAGCACTGGCATTCCTCTCTCCGTTCACCTGGACTTCGGGAGAGAACTACATGGAGCTGATTGCAGTGAGTGGTGGGGAAGAGGCGGTGGATTACTATGCAGTGATGATTGTCGAGGGCTACAAGAAAGTGCTGCTGTGCCTAGGGGGGAGCACATTGGGCTACGTCACCTTAGCCTACATTTTCTGCAGCCTTTTTGCAATTCTTGCACTAGTCTTTGGCTACCTTGGTCTTCGGTTCTCTCATCGTGGAAAGCAGGCATAAACAGAGAGTCTGCAGAACTGCACTGCCTGGCTAGCAATGTCTGGTCGTGGCAACGCGCTTCCCAAGGCCACCCGTGCCAGATGGAACCGAAGAGAATGGCGCTGAGAAGGTCCCAAAGCAACAGGACCGGACACTGACCCAAGAAGAACGATAAACAGTGATAAAACATCATCCATCCACTGAAAGGCATCAACAGCTATATGTTATCTACTCCAGGAGTGTTTGAGACTGGAATGGGCGGGCAGTATTTTAGCTTTGCGCAGGAAATGTCGCGGCGCCTCCACAAGAATTCAAGGGCCATTTTCCAACTGCGTTGTGCAGGCTCCACGCCGGAGATATTTCTGACACTTCCTTGGGGTGTGGCCGTTTTGCATAGCAAAGATATATTCACACACAGGTGGTGAAATGTGGCCGAGCTGCTTATCGTTTTGTCAGTTTCATGACCGTTCGAATTGGCATGCACAACAGGTTATCCCAATGTTCAATGAGGAACGTCCCCAGGAGCAGTGAGAAAAGAGAAAAGACGTCATTATACAAATATATATAAGGGTTTGGCACACATGTTTTTTTTGTGTGTGTAGCCTGTGCCTGAGCTGCTTGGAGACGGATTTGTCTCGCGTTGAATGGCTCAATCAGTGGCCTGGAAGCAAGTACAGCATATATAGATTTTACCAGGCCAAACTATTGTGTGCATCATGGCTGCCAGCCCATATTTTTGGGAGCCTTGCGTGATGGGGATAACCTTGCTTGGCTATGTGGTGCTGGTGGTAAATGCCTTAATCAATCGAAGACAGCGATGGCGACTCTCCGAAGAATCGAAGATGATGTCGGAATGTGAAAGGTGCTCTGTGGACCTGGCCAACAGCTTGATGCCAGCTTCCAAGGTGCCAGAATACCGTTTCAGAGGCATGCACTTGAAGATGTCAGGAATCAGCATTGAGTTTGACAACTTGGGAGTGAAGCTCAAATCCAGCAGGAAGTGCATTCTTGAGGGTGTGAGTGGTGAATTTCGTTCCAAGAGGGTGGCAGCTATCATGGGGCCGTCTGGGGCAGGGAAGACGACCTTCATGAACGCCTTGTGTGGTCGCGCCTACTATGGGACCACCACGGGTTCCATCCGCATCAATGGGGAGCCCAGCAGCATTGCGGAGATCAAGCAGTTTCGCGGCTTCGTGCCACAGGACGACGCGGACTGAGTCGTGCCACGGGGGCAGCAGACCAGTTTGCATGTATCTGCTGCAGACCAGTCACATGTCGTGATCTCAGTTGTTAATTGTTTTGGTGGCAGAAATCCTGTGTGCAACTGGGCGGCGGCACGGTAGCCGGCATGGCCAGGGTGTAGACAAATTCTTCCCAACTTAGCATGACGACCCACAAGTGTGGGTTCTTTCGGGTCCTTTTCCGGCCCTAGGATAGCCTAGGTCGAAAGCGCCCTATGTTTCTGTATTGTTTCTGTATATCGAGGTTTTTGTATAGCGGCCACGGGTGCTTCGCCCCTTCTGCACTCGCTCCGCACGCAGGATGACATTCTCCATGAGCACCTGACGGTGCGTGAGCAACTCTACTATTCTGCACGTTTGCGTAATGCGGAGGACACGCCACCAGAGACCTGGCGAAAGCGAGAGAGGTCTGAAGTCTGCTTCTTCGTGTCCGACTTAAGAATTCTAGTGAATCTTTTTGGGACTGGGGACAAGAACCTAATTGGGGCTTTAGGTTCTTGGGCTTAGATCATCATCATCATTTAGTCACTGGTTATCTAATTAATCCATGCGTGGCCGCAGCCTAGGCGAGCCTAGGTATTCTAATCTTGCTTAATCTCATCTACCCCTGTAGGGATCATGTACCCACCGTTTCAATCAGGGCAGACTACGAGAGCAGACACATTTGCACACAACCCCATCTCATGAACAAAGACAATCTCAAAACCAAAAGCATTAACCTGCATATTCAATATATATATATATATATAAGGAGATGATCAACAACATCGTGGAAGACGTGTTGAATGTGATGCAGCTGCTGGATGTGCAACATAGTTTGGTCGGAAATGTGGAGAAGCGCGGCATTAGTGGCCTGGATTTGCTTGAGCATGCTTGAGGTCATATTTTTCTCGCATGTGCTTGAATAATCCTGGCATCCCCATTTCGGGGTGCAAACCAGGGGATATGATTGATATTGATATATACAGTGTGTATATATAATATATATAAGGTTTTTCAATAAATGATACGACATGTTCAAGATTACAAGGTGAACCAGAAGAGAGGGCAGCTATGCATGCAAGACCCAGTTGGAGAACGTGCAACATTTGCCTGGGTCTGTTTGGGAGGGAGCAATCCGCAGCAACGGCCCGGGATAGTTCGGGTCATCCATCGAACTCGGGGCGATGTGCAAGGAGGTCCGATTGACCCCGCTGGCAGCCTAGGTGGAGGACAGCGAAAGCGAGTTAACATCGGTTTGGAGCTTGCTGCGCGTCCCAAAGTCTTGATGCTGGACGAGCCGACCAGTGGCTTAGACGCCAGCACCGCATTGGAGATCATTCGCTCGGTGAAGCGTCTCACAGGTATAGGCAGGGCCTGATCAAGGGTCAATTTAAGACACATGTTTTACTTGGATGGCCTGACTGTGAGTTCAGAGTGTATATGGCAAGTAGTGTGATTTGCTCAGACATCAGTACGTCAATTCACTAGGGGATTTGGGTTGAGTTAAATACGGTTGAATCAGATTATGTCATTGAGATAGGTTGTGGTGCCATGGGCATGTCACACTGCCACACTGATGTCAGTTCCCGTCAAGTGTGGTTTGGTAGCTGACCTATGTAGGCATGACAGTGGTGATGGTAGTGCACCAACCTCGCTATTCTCTTTTCACGCTCTTTGATGACTTGCTCCTTCTCGGTTTGGGTGGCCGAACGGTCTACTCGGGCAAAAGCGAGGGTGCTCTGCCCTACTTCCGCCGCTTGGGCTGATTATTTATGATTCTCTTGTCATGACGCCATTCTTCAGACCGAGAACCAGTCGTTCATAAAGAGAACCCAGCCGCATGAATGTTTGTTGTTTGAAGTGCAAGCGCATTGGCATAGTAGGAGCCAGGAGCCACATTTGACCTCATCGGTAGCACCTTTTTTTGTTTGGATGTATTTTTATACCCACCATGGCATGGAGGGAAAGAAAACTACTTGCACAGTGCAGAGCCAAGGGCACTTGGGCTTCCAAATGCCTCAGCATGAAAACCCAGCAGATTGGGTCGTAGATGTGATTTCTGGAAAGGTGTGGAACGAGAAAGACCCGACACTGTCAAGAAAGTTGCCGGAGGCATGGGCTGAGTTCATGCCAAATCTCACAGCTCTACTTATTGATTTGGAGATGCAGGACACAGCTGAAGAGCAGATTGATAGCTTCGCGTTCACGATGGCTTTGGATGCCAAGCTGTCCAGTGCAGGATACAAAGATATTGATGACTTGAGCCAGGAGCAGTTCCTGAGCTTCTTGGAATTCCTGCAGATCCAGAAACCTTCTGATGCTGCATGGGCACACCTCACCGAACGCATGGGGTTTGAAGATGGATTCATCAGTCAACAGAGGTTGGTCTCTTTCCTTCTAGGTTTGACCGGGTCCTTCTCTTCTCAGGATGAGGCTGAGGATGTTGCATCGGAGGCCTCCAACATGACAAAGCAGCGCTTCATTAGTTGGATTCGCCGCAAAAAGCCACGGCTGGGAGGGCATCATCAGCGCTTTCTCTTCCAGTACCTCATTTTGCTTCACCAAAATAGTCTCCGATGGGCACGAGACTGGAAGCACAAGCTCATCAGCACATGCCTGAGCATGTTCACAGCAGCAGTTTTCGGAACGCAATGCAAACAGAAGCTGATCCCTGAAAATATCTTGTGTCCAGGCAGCTGGCTTTCTGAAAAGTCTACTTTGGATGTATTTTGCTGTTGGCCCGTGCCAATGTTGATTTGAATCTAGTCTCCTCCAATATGACATATAATATATATATATATGTGTGTGTATAAGTTACATCTTGTTACTGTATGTATAGATATTTAAACTATCTATGGATGGCAACACCAAACATTGTGAAGGAAACCGATCAGCCCCCCTTACCCATCCCACCATGTGTTTCGTTGCTCCAACAATGTATGTTGGGCGCTCACCGGTCCCGATGCCCAGGTTGGTTTGGTCCAAGTGCCGTGGATGTGTGTATCCCTAGGGCTACAAATACCTTCTGAGGAGGCACCTGGAGCCCTGTGTATATGTATAATATGTATATGTTTCTATGCATTTACAGATGGGAGTTACCCCCTAATAGTCCGATGTTTCAGCAAATCCTCACTATGTTGGCATGTTGGAACACGTGTTTATCTATTTGGGAACCCTTATACAATTGCAATACTATATATTACTTACATATGTTACTCAGTACTAAGTTATCATAACGATAATAATTTTAGACACACATACACACATACACACATACATACATACATACATACATACATACATACATACATACATACA